GCAATATATTAGTTCATTTTGCTTTTAATTTCTTTCTATTGGTCAATATAATAAGAAAATCGGAACAGAAGACAAGTTCCTGCTGAGTATAGTTCAAATCATTGTTAATCAAGTGCTTATTATGCAAAGGGTGCTTTGTGGGAAAGCAGAACACTGTTGTCTGATGCGTGCTCTCTAATAATGGTTAAATTATGAATAGATTCTATTGCTGCTGCAAGAATGAAAAAAAAAATCAAAAACCATACATATTTATTTGTCTGGTGGAAGTTGAGGTGCATTTCTTAGCTTTCTCTTCATACACATGAAACTGGTTTTTTTGGTCTCATTACAGATCCACTTCCGAGGATTTCAAATGTTTCTGTTGCTCTGATAGATTTGGAAATATTATTTTAATGGTCGGGCTATGCTTGAGAGAAAATACATCTTTCTGCCTGCATTATCAAAAATGGAATTTGCTGAAATAGCTGAGAGTACATAGATGCCTAATAATTTCTGTTTCAGAAAAAGCATAGTTTTTAATATTTTCTAAGCTATAAGGTAATATTTGATTAAAAATATGATCTATTTTTGGCCCCAAACCTATTTTAAAACCATGCTTTATTTTAACTTAAACTGTATTATACTTTACAAAGGTGGCATATAAAGTCTATCCTGCAAGGTCTTTCAAAATATTGAACCAAAAAAATGAGACACACAGTAGCAGCTCAAGAAAACTATACCTGATCTCTGGGAGCATATGACTTTTATTCCACTACCATATTCTGTGACCTTCTATCCCTGTGGAAATACAGAAGTTGAATGCATCACTACCTAACAATATATTTTATGACAAATATTTTTGTGAAAGGGCCCCACAAAATTGTTATCAATTATAAACATCTTTGGAATATTTATTGCTACAAAGATGAAGCAATTATGTATATTGCTATGATTGTTTTTCAAAGGAATTAAATTTCAATTATTTCAGTTATCACAGGATATTATTAGAGTGTAGGCATGAGCCTGATATTATATATGTTTGTGTGACAATGTCCCTGCTCCCTCCTGTTTGTGTACACATCCTTTTTGAATAGGAAGTGGGATCATATAACAATAAATAATGCATTGTCATCTATTTTGAAATATTAAAATATATGCAAAATGGGGCTGGGCACAGTGGCTCACACTTGTAACCCCAGGTCTTTGGGAGGCCAAGGTGGGTGGATCATCTGAGGTAAGGAGTTTGAGACCAGCCTGGCCAACAGGGTGAAATGCTGTCACTACCGAAAATACAAAAATTAGCCGGGCACGGTGGCACACACCTGTAATCTCACCAACTGGGGAGGCTGAGGCAGGAGAATCACATGAACCCAAGAGACAGAGGTTAAAGTGAGCCGAGATTGCACCATTGCACTCCAGCCTGGGTGACAAGAAATCTTTCTTAAAAAAAAAAAGAAACAAAATATGTGCAAAACTATTTCTGATTTAAACTAAGGGTCTACTTAGTTTAAAGTTGTACTTAAAGTTAGTTAAAGTACTTAGTTTAAAGTTGTACTTAGTTTAAAGTTGTATTTAGTTTAAAGTTTTATTTAGCTTCTACAAACACAAGAAACGTATTGATGATAATAAAAAACACATTAAAAAGTTTACCAAAATGTTCTGGACATTTTCAGGGGATCTTTTTTTAACAAAATTTATATATGACATGTAAACATTCTGTTAATTCTTATTGTGAAATATTTTTCAAACATTTTTACTGTCTCAAAGTCTTCTAAACACATATTATTGGGTTAAAATTTTGCTTTTCACGTAGTAAACCCAAAACTACACACAGTACTCCAATGCGGCAGTCCTTTCAATAATGAGAAGCAGAAATTTCTTATCTTTATTGAATGCTTTCAGATTGTTTATTTTGTTCGACAGTGCTATAGACTTACTGCTATATGTCTAGACTTATCTATCTAATCTACCATTTACCTATTTACCTATTTACCTCTCAATCATCTATCTATATTTTGAAATAATAGCTGCTATTCAAGATCCTTCCTATTGATAGTTGCCAAAGTCTACCCCCTAATATGCATTTTTATTTTGTGTCTTATTGTTAAATTTCTTTGTTCTAACTATACAAAATCTCTTTGAATCTTAATCTAATACATTAGCTTTACTAGCTGGGCTTTCAAGTGTTTTATAATCTGATGTCTTCATTCAAGTTATAGAGAGTGAGAATTAAGAACCCAGCAATGGTGAACATTATTACAGATTGACATTGACAGCCTGTCTCATCCACAGATGTCCCATCCTGCTATGTTTTCTCTTTATTCAGTGCATATTAATTTTTCTCATTTATTTGGATTCCTTTTGAGACTTTCTATAGTATCTTATTTATTTTTTAACCATTGTATATCATGTTAAGGAAATGTTATCAGCCTTGTTGCCTAATTTTGCAGTTTCAGCAAAATGTAATTTATTGTGTCTAATATGTATATATATATATATATATATATATGTACTTATGTGTATTTTTGTGTGGTGTGTTTTGCGTGTGTGTATATATACATATAGATAAATAGATAGATAGATAGATATCTTCTTCCTTGCACATTCTTCCTCAGTGTTCAAAGTTTTCTTGTTCAAGTTTAGTGAGCCTTCTGCCAAGTACATATTTTGCTGTTCCGGTGAGGTACAGAATATCCCTTGTCAAATGCTCATTATTCTGCTGTGCTAAGCCTTTCTAGTTGCCTCCTGAATCCTCTTTTCTTTTCAAAAATGAAAACTTTAACTGGAAAAAAAAAAGAAGGACTATTTTTATGTCTTTATGTCTTAGAGATTTCTGTTTCAGGACTTAAAATGCACTAGAAGCATATTCTGGCATTTGACTTGTTTCTGATTGCATTTCCAATAGTTATCCTGAAAAATAGCATGCTTCAAGAGTATTAATGTGAGGCATATGCTAGGCCTGAGCCATGAAAGAATCACCATCTACACGGCATGTTATGTCATTTTACATGTTATTATTCATGTTTTCTGGAGATTCAGGGAAACATGAATAATAAAATGTGAAATGGAATAACATTCAGTGCCTCACATCTCTTCTTCAGAGGAGCAGCTGTGATATTCTCAGACATATTTGTGCCCATGAGTACTTATTTCATACATATCCCATAGACTGAAAACTTACGTCAATTATGATTCAACATCCTACAGCTGATAGATATGATTCCACAAAGGTCAGGTTTTCTGGGTAAAGTACCCATGACTGATGAATTATTATATAATACGCATGATGTCATTCCTCTGCTGCTTCTTTCTCTATCCTACACCATGTTTAAGAATAGATAGCTGATGTAGTTTTAAAAAATTCCTCTTTCACTGAGTTAGAAAATTTTTCCAGTTTCTCATTAAATTATTTAATTTCTGATTTTCAGGAACCCACTCATATATGTATGTATATTTTCCTGTTTTATTATATGTAGTACATTGAATATTTGAAAAACAGTTTTTTTAATATGTTAATTTAGTAATGTCCAATAAATAATATTGTAGGGTATTGCACTGTGACTGTTATAAATGTACCTATATGAAATTCAATTTCAGTTTTCAGAGTAAAAGACATAGACATGAGAAAAAGAAGCCCTAGTTGTGATTATCTCATGACCCACTTACTTTGCAATGCAAAACAATTAACTCACAGATATAGCTGCATGCTGAGTTCCCCACAGCTGAATTGGCATTTGGAGTGCAGGTGTTAGTGGAATACGCCATTGGGATCAACATCAGTAGATCACAGAAGGAAGAAGGACTGGGTAGAGTGACACGTGGAGCTGCCATTCAGGTTTAATGACTCTTAATGGCTGACCCCCTGGAAAAGCTCTGTAGCTAAAGTTGTCTCTCAGTATTGTTAGTAGTATAGAAGGTGGATGTCCCAACCTTTGTAACTTTTCAGCAGTGAGTCATCAGTTATATGCTATTTCAGAAGGGTGTGACCTGGGGGCAGGTGGCAATCTATAGCTAGGGCGACAGGTAATTTTATGAAGGGATCTGAACAGTACAACCAAGTATGGACCGCATGGGTTCTCAGCTAATATGAATTGAGGGATGAGGAACAACAGTGCAACGAAACATATGCACTGAGGACATCAATACCATTTGGCAGCGAATTGGAGATGAGGCAATGGGACACTGTCGTGTTCAGCAGGGTTCTAGAATAGAGGTTTTATCCCTATCGTTTACCAGCTTTGTGATTTGGGGCAACTAACACTCTGAGACTAGGGTTATCTATTTTTAAATTAATATTTATAATAAAAATTATTTTCAGTTATAAATTAAAGAATTTAGCACCCTGTCCCTCATAAGGTTTTATGGACTGAACACAATATATCATGCAGGCATTTGCTATAGTACATTGCATTTAATAAACACATACTTAAAAAGATGATTAGCTATTTTATTCACCTTAACTTCCCCATGGTCAAACAATAGTGCTTCAAATTACAGCTAAGTCTAAAATAGTTTATTGCTTGATCTACTGTCTCCGTAGAAATGTTATCTAAACCAGTAGTTCTTCTATCTCATTTATGCATCAATATCATCTGAATAGTTTGCTAAAAATACAGATTTGTGCTCCTATCACATATATTCAGAGTCACTAGGTTTGGGAAAAATCTCCTTGGCTCTCCTCAAAGTATAGGACCCTAAGTATGTGACTTCAGGCCATCTGTGTACCTTTAAATCTTGTAGCTGTTAGGTCCGTGTCCAAAAGGTTCATGGCTCCCTCCCTCCTTTGTCTTTCTCCTATTTTCCTTTATCTTTAGTGTGGCTGTATTAATTTTTATAAATAGGCTTCTCAATTGGAGAACCAATATTAGCTTCTCTTTAATAATTGCCCCTTCATGTTTCCTTGTCCATTTCATAAACTGAAACACGAAAGTCACACATCCCCATTTTATCCATTAAAGCAAATGTGAATCTTGAATGGCGGCTTGACTAAGTTTATTTTGTTTTGCTTATGTCTATCATAGATAACACAGCCAGCATTCTGACAAGGCGGAGGAGATTTAGTCGAACTGTTCAGGATGTGTATTATCTGCCCATTATGATCTCTGATGGTGGAATCCCCTCTCTCAGCAGCAGCAGCACCCTCACCATCAGGGTTTGTGCATGCGAGAGAGATGGGCGCGTGCGGACCTGCCATGCAGAAGCCTTCCTGTCCTCGGCTGGTTTGAGTACAGGAGCCTTAATCGCTATTCTTCTGTGTGTTCTCATTCTCCTGGGTAAGTCATTCTAAACCCAAGTTTGTATGATGGCAATTCTGAATGAGAGGGAATCATTTTGACAAACTTAAGGATTAAACATGCATAAGGCAACCATAATGTGGGTAAGGAAACAGCTGCACCAATTTCCTTTGAATTAATTTTCTAAATACTATCATTAATCTCAAAATAATTAGACTCTTCCATTATTTCAGTTCTTTCAGCGTTGCAAGTTATTCAGTTCTGTCCTTCTGAAGGAACTGAAGTGTTGAAAGAACTGAAATAATAGATGAAGGAATAGCTTTTTAAAGTGTATACTTAAGAAACAATATTAAAATATTCAGAATCCAATCTTGAAAGAAACTTTAAAATTTTTTTTCAAGAACCTAAGTGGCATCATGCTAAATGAATCCAACCAGGACCCCAGCCCGCTTATCTTCTGAGATCAGAGGAGGTGAGCCGTTCATTCAGAATGAGGGTAAGGGTCACATGGTCATAGGATGAGTAAATGTGGAGATCTAATATACAACAAAAGGACTTTAGTTAATAACACTATTGTGATGTATTGGAAATTTGCAAAGACAATAAACTTTAGGTTTTTTCTCCCCTTCCCGTGAAAAAGAGGGTGTAACTATGTGATGACAGATGCATTAATTTGCTTGACTGTACTAAGCATCTCACTATGTCCTAAGAGTGAAAACTATTATTGGGAAAACACCATTGTGTTGTACACCTTAAATATATAAATGAATAAATCATAAAACGAATCCGAAAATCAAATAAAAAATAGACATCTTGTAGAAACTTCTAGTTCAAAATAGTTCATCATTAATGTTAACTGGGTTGTTAACATACTGACTAAATATTTTTTGACCTTAGATATTAAATTTTATTAAATTCAATTATATTACCTTAAAAACAATACATTTTTTAACTTGAAATTTTCATTACAGTTTATTAAAAAATAAAACACTTTCTCTAATTTTACATTATCTGTTGTAATAATCTGCATCTTTTTACTACTGCATAAGGAGCTTATATAATTATAAACTCTTTAGATTGTTCTTTGAAACAAGGTAGCAAATCCATATTGTAATAACAAGGAAGATGGCTGTAAGGAATCTTTCTGCTTTATAAAGTGAGCACCTGTGTCCTAACCCTTTTTTCTTTCCCTCAGCAGTCTGTTTTTTATTCTTTTTATGGTACTGTGCATACATGAAAAAATAATTGGCTGTTTTCCTGAGAAAGAGGTATTCTTGCAAAAATATGTTTCTTGTTTTGTTCCTGGGGTTGAAGACAAATAACGTGTATAGATGGAGTGGAGATTAAAGCGTAATGAGCCTGGAAAGGAGAAGGGATTTGTAGGAAAGGGTGAGAGTGTCCGGAGCCTTGTGGGACATGGCAAAGCTGGTGAGTTTTGTTTTAGGAGTATAAAGAAAGATTTTAAGCCAGAGGGTCCCATTGTAAAACCTTCAATTTACAAAAATGAAATGGAGATTAGAACTCCTGGTGGCAAGAAGGCATGTAGGAAAACCACTCAGGAAAACTCTGCCCTTGTCTCCCTTAGACATAGCATGTATTGGAGTAGCATACTCATAACGGACCTGAGGAAAAGTGAATACTATCAAGCTACTTTAAATGGACTCAGAAATGATCTTTGATAATGTAGATATCTGCATGAGTTAGAATGGCATCAAATACACCTTCTTTTATCTTGCTGAATGTAGATCCTGAACTGCCATGAGCTAGGGGACATTGGAAGTGCGCTTCATTGAAGTTACCCAGCAAGAGAATATATGTAGAGAGACAGTGGATTGGGATTGAGCAGTGAAAACTACAAGATGGATGCTAAGTAAAAAGGATGAGATAGCAGAAGTCAGTGAAGTCAGAGTAGAAAGAAGGAAAGTATAATGTCACAAAAGTGAGGGAGAATAGGGTATCATAGAGCATTACACTGTGTAGTAGATCTTGTCCACAAAGTCAAAAGATGCTTACAGGTTCAATAAATTGAGCACCAAAATGATCAATTGCACATAAAGCATGGAAGTTTGGTGCACCATGGCAAGATCTATTTCATTACATTCAAGTCTTTTCTAGCTAGGCATGGTGGCATGTACCTGTAGTCCCAGCTACTTGGGAGGCTGAGGTGAGAGAATCCCTTGAGCCTGGGAGTTGAAGGCTGCAGTGAGCTGTGATCACACTACTGCACTTCAGCCCGGGTGACAGAGTGAGACCCTGTCTCAAAAATAAATAAATATATAAAAACAAATAAATATGTAGAGTAGATGTGTGGTGGAGAGGAAAGTCTGGAAAAGAGTCTTTAGGAACTTTATGTATTTATTGGTCAGAATGGCTATTTTCTTTAGATATAAACATGCTTCGGCTTTTTTGATATTTGAAAAGAAAAAGAAAAAGAGCACAAACACTCCAGAAAGACAAAACAAAGCTGCACAACAACAATTACCCTGTAACTTTCTGGAGTCCTAATTGAAGTCACAGAGAATAGAACGCAGGGATGTTAACGAGAGTTCTTCTAGCCTTCTTACTCTTAAAAATAGATCACTTGGGTGAGGCTTGTTGTCTTCAGATATCATGCTCATTTATCATCATAAAACTATTTTCATTTACTAGGATAAATACCAAAAATGCAATTAACATGTTAAATGTCTAGGTACATTTTGAGGTGCATTATTTGAAAGAATATTTTATGTTTTCATGAAATGATACTTCCTTTTAATTGGTTTTTATGAAAATGTTTTCTCATTTGGGATAAGTAAAAGAACATTTGTAAATTTTGTGATATTCCTCTAGACTAATAAATTTACTATATGTTTTTTTTTATTTTTATTGGTTGAAACTCAAATATGCAGTAAAAGCATATTTGAGCCAATATCTGACTGGAGCCTCTTCCAGCCACCCGTTCAGTCCATATCTCATGTATAAGCAGGTGACCTAGGTGAGGCTTGTTCCCTAATCTTGGATATAAATTTCTGGATAAATGAGGATGACAGTGGATTTGGTGGGAATGTATGGTGGACTAAGAGAAGAAGATGGAATTGGTGAGAAGATGCTGTAAAAGCATATTTGAGTTTCAACTAATAAAATTAGTGAAAATATGCATTGTAACTACAGTTATATATTATAAAGCAGTGCATGCTTTTCACGGCATTGATAAGTTTTTATTGTTTCTCAGAAAGTATCTAGCCAAGGCCTATAGGATATAGTTATCTGTAATTTTAAAATAATGTTAATTTGTAAGATTATGATTTGCAACTAAAATATTTACAAAACCAAAGGTAGCAAAACTTTATTTTTGAGCTTGTAATTCTGAAATAATGTTAAACCCTCATAGCTAAGTAAATTGTGAAATTAATATTTTAATATTAAAAATATTTTCCTCTCAGCTTCTTATTTGTGAAAATGGCTGCGATTATACAAACCCAGCCCTAGTTTTTCCAATAACTGCGTGATCTCAGGCCACACATTCAGTCTTTCTTATTTCTATTTCCAAACCTGTGAAAATGGCATTTCAGTTGAAAGGCCCTTAGAGTCATCTGTAGAATTTTGTAATACTTATTTTTGTTTTATTAAAGATTACATACGGTTCAACATTTTACAACATGGTCAGAATCCATCTATCTGTATGTTGAATGGTGCTTATGAATCTAAGAGCCTAACTTAAATTATAGATAGGAACATGAGTTGGGTTATTTTCTGTTGAGATTACCATTTTTATGTCTGTTTTATATGATAGATGGAAGATAATTTAGAGTGAGTCTTCATGATGCAATCAGAATTTGCCATGACAGTAGAGGTAGCAGTTCTCTCTTCCTCTGAGGCCTGATTTTATTTCTCAACATTACCCTATCTCTTGCCAGAGGGACTAGAGTAGTTGGCAAGGTAACCCTTGATCAAACTTGGCATAAGTCATTGAGTCAGGATCTGACTGGGACCTCTCCCAGCTACGCTTTCAGTCCAGACCCCGTGTATAAGCAGGTGACCTGAGTGAGGCCACCATAAGTCAGCCATAGATTGATCCCTGTCTTGCATATCAATTTCCTGATAAATGGCGATGAGAGTGGATTTGGTGTGAACACATGGTGGAATAAGAGAAGAAGATGGAATTGGTGAGGAGATAAAGGTCAGCCTGCTTTTCATCTGAGCTATTTCAATGGTTTTGTGTGCTACTGTTTCTTTAAAAATCTAAGGTTTCAGAAAGAGATGCCACTACCAAGTGTGGCAAGTCGCACTCTTTAAGCTAATCAAAATAACCTCCTCAACTCAGGAAACATCAATTCTACCAAATTTAGTGCCAACATATAATGGTATGACAAAGAATCAAATGATATTTGAGGGCTAAAAAATTCTGCTATGAAAGCTTCTTAGGGAGGAGTATGTTGAGATTCAGTATGTAATGGATTCAAATGCAAGCTATATGAGAGTTTAAATTATGAGAACTGAAAGCCACTTAGAATGCCAAGCACAGGGATGAAACATAATATACAGGAATAAATCCACAGTATGAGAAAACAAATACAGAAATGTTTCCCCAAATTTGAGTTACATGATAATAACATTAATTCATAAAACTCCACAAGTTTACTCTAATTTATAATATAAAATGATAATTTCAAGGGCGTTTAAAATTCTGCCTAAACTTGAGCAGAAGAAAAAGAAATTTACTAACCAAGGATGAAATATTTATTTAGATTAAAGACATCTCAAAAAAACTACAGCTTATTCAAGTTTCAATCCAAGTTATGCAACTAAAATTGGCTTTGAAATGTGTCAGAAGTTATTTATGATTTTGTACAAAGAAAAACAATATATCTGTCTATCTATCTATCATCTATCTATCTGTCTATCAATAGATAGATACTAACAATACCTTGGTTCTTTTATATTGTATTTTACCAGATGGCCCACTATAAGAAGAGGTACCTTGCCCATTTGTATGGTTTGGTAGATTAGCAGGGTCATTTGAATGCATTCTTTTGACTGTCAGTTTTTAAATAAGGATTTGACTCTCTATTTATATGTGTAATTATTATCTGCACTCATTCTTTTAAAATATCCTCTGGTTTTGGATTTTTTAGAAACATTCCATTTGTTTTTCAAACATTCAGAAATATTCTCCAGTACAATTAGGAGTTTGATGTTATTAGTAACCATAAGCTAATTTTTAAAAAAATATTTTAAAACTATTTTCCTAGTGAGGCTATTACTGTTCAGGAGAATTCACTTAACACAATGTCACATTACCACTTTCACAGAGATTAGTTTTTTGTTTGTCCACATGAGAATTGTTTATGGAGTATCTACCTGGTGCCGTCTGCTCCAGAAATACCTGGTGAATCAACAGGCGTGAAAATAACTTCATCAGAACCACAGCGTATCATCCATGTTTCAACATTCTTCACTGAGTTGATCTGAATTTACCTTTAAGTAGAGGGATCCTATGTCTGCAATATGCCCTGATGTCCTGACATAATTATAAACAACATCCCCTCTCACTCAAAAGTGTCTCAGATTTTGATTATTTTTTTTTATATTGATCCTATCATTAAATAAGTGTGTAACAAGTCTAGGAATCACTGAATAGAAGCAAAACATACCCAGAAAGACAGCAAATACTACCTTCTCTGGGGAAAAGGTAGCTGTAAACCTTCAAAGTTCACATGTAAATGGTCTCTATATTTTGAATTAATATATATCAGAATATTTTCTTAACTTTTGAGAAATAAGAAACTATAAGCTATGATAATTAGAAAGCCAGGATTATCCTTGCATTTCATTAAGTGAATATGATACATATACAAAGACTGAAAAGTTTCACAACTATCAAAGGATGCAAATTACCTCCATACCTCTATTGCAGTATTGATTACATATTCCCTGATGTGCCTGCACATAAATTCCCTTGACATCAACCACCAACCAATTCAATATAAAAGAAAATAACTTGATTTATTGGTGAAAGTAAGAAATTGTACTATAATAAATTAGGCAGTCTGTATAAATAGGTCTTTGGATCTCGACCAGCCTCCTCATTTAATTATAAAGATGAACAGAGATACAGAGTGCATGATAAATCAAAACATCTGAACACAGTGGAGTGAGTTACTGGAGGATGTTGTTTAGGGCTTTGAATTAGAAAGCTGTAAGGTGGATTTATGCTAAAATACACGGGGAGTTATGAAATGCATATGTACTGTGTTCAGCAAAAGCCCTTTTACCCCAAAGTAAAGTGGTATATAAACTAATGTTTTTGAGGTATAGGAAACGTATATGGGTAAATCTGTTTTTCTGTGTATAATCTTGTAGACCAAGGTATGTGTAGATCAAGGCATGTGTAGATCAAGGCATGTGTAGATCAAGGCGTGTGTAGATCAAGGCGTGTGTAGCGTCAGCATTTCGTTTTCAGCACAGTACCCACTTCATTTCAAACCACAAGGGACTCAGGCAACGCTCCCCACGTCTGCTGTAGCGACCCTCATTGAATTTTCTCATTACCTTCCCAATGCTAATTTCCTTTCATTTCACAGTTTTCTGGGTGGTTCTGTGACCTTCTCTACAGATTTCTTTTGCTGTCTTTTTGATTCCTTCATAGTCTCTCTTTCGCCCTTCCTCTGCACAACTGGACACCTCCCAGCGCATGGTGACCATCCCTCTCTCTCATTATCCTTTCCCCCTCTGCCTCGAAAATCTACTCCTCTTCCTGAAGTTTTCTCTAGTTTTATAACAGATAAAGCAGTTCATATCGATTAGAGGGATACATTAAACTGGTAAAGCTATAAAGAACAAAGTAACAATAATGATAAAAGTAAAGATAAAAGTCACTTTGCAGAGGTAAGCTGTAAAAGGGCAGTTCCTGGGGGGAAAGTACGTTGTTTATTAGAGGTTAGATAACTGCTGTTTGCTTCACAACCATTCGTTGAAGTTCACTTACAATCAGGTTTGCCAGACACAATGCAGTACACCCAGAAAACTGTGAGTTTCAGATAAATAAGAAATATATCTATATCTATATATAGGTATATATGTATATATAATAGAAATATGTCATATAAAATAATAGTATTTGGAACATATGCGTGTATGCTAGCACAATATTTGACTGTGTGTGTGTATTCCAAATATTATATGGGACATACTTAATATCTTTATGTGTGTGTTTGTGTGTGTGTGTGTGTGTGTGACGGGGGTGAGTGTCTATGTGTGTGTCTGTGTTGCAGATGGTCTCCAACGTACAATAGTTTGACTTAAGATTTTTTGACTTTACAGGGATGTGAAAGTAATATGCATTCAATACAAACCGTATTTTGAATTCTGATTCAAAATTCTTTATAACACCTTTATTATAAATATGCTTCGTGTTAGATAAGTTTGCCCAACTCTAGGCTAATGTGTCCTGAGCACACTTAAGGTAGGCTAGGCTAAGATATAATGTTCAATAAATTAGGCGTGTTAAATACATTTTTGATTTAAGATATATTAAACTTCCAATGGGTTTAATAGGGATGTAAGCTCAATGTAGGTTAAGAAGCCTGTGTGTGTGTGTGTGTGTGTGTGTGTGTGTGTGTGTGCGCGCGCGTGTGTGCTGTTATTGGTCTCATTCATGTTTAATTGAGAACCCTGTCATTTATTTTTATTTGCTAAATCTAACAACCTTAGATGTCAATTGAATGCACCTCCCCAATTATTATGAAATAAAGAATGTTTAAAATATAAATGGACATCATTATCACTATCATAAAGCCTAGACTATCAGCTGAGCAAGAAAAGAACAGTCCATAGAGCTGAAATAAATAATACTCATCCTAATAGCACAGCCTGTAACAAAGTTGATGTGAGGGAACTGTTTCTCTTTAGTAATACTTTAATATCATCAAATAGAAACAGTTGAAAATACTGATAAATGGCCAAAGCCCAGTTCCCAAGACACATTTCTATCATATTTTCTAATGTTGGCAGCATTATTGGAAATAAAGACAAATCCACCATATTTAGCAAGAGCTACCCTAAGCCACATGTCCAATTGGCCACCTAGTTTATTATTTCATGTCTTTGAAATACTGAAGTAGAATATTATTTTAGTAGAAATAACATTATCTGTGATGAGAGAAATCACATGTTATGGTACAAGCTCTTCTACTTGCTATTACCTTTTGATCTTAGTTATTCAGTTACTCTTTCCTGAGTCTCAGATTCCTCATTCTAATTTATATCTAGTGTTCCATTATTGGAACACTAGGCTTGTGGGAGTTATTTATATTCTACTGCTCAAGGTCATCGCCAAGGTCTGATTTTTCACACACAAAAAACATTGCAACCTCAGGCATAAATGGGTTAAAAATTGACTAAAGCCACAGCTCTGCTGTGAGGATTAAATAAATAAGTTATTTAAAGAAAATTCATTAATCAAAAAATTCCTATGAAACAAATTGTGTACAAATAATGTAAAATTATCTTGCAGCTGAATGGGAAAATGCAGTTATTAATGCGTGATAATATAATTTTAAAGGATAATAGACAAAAGAGATCAACCATTAAAATATTTCTGCTTTCATTTTCCACAAAGCATCAAAATTTAAAGGGTTTAACGTTAAGGCTCCTTCTTACATGTTTCCTTTAGTGTATCCACCTAGAAGGATTAAATATCTATAGAAAGACCAGTTCACTACATTATTTTTCTAGTTAAAATTTCATATTTTTTATCATGTGTTTACCTCACTTTAATCACTAAATTGTTATACTGAAATATGAGTAAAAAAACCTGAATCCTGGTAAATTGAGAGTATTATGATTTTCTACAGAAGATCAGTGATTCACAGTGTCTCCTGGGGTAATCATCTTTTACATTCTTTGAGGCATTAAAATATCTTGCGGTGTCATTCAGAGGGCACAGAGGGGATTTTGCTTCAATGCCAGCCTAACTCTGGAATGTAGTTAATGACAGATGGGAAAATGGGAAATTGCGGATGTAAAATCTCTAAGAATTTCCTCCCTGTTTTCTTAATTCTTCATCCTTTCTATTTTTCCTCAGCAATTGTGGTACTTTTTATCACCCTGAGGCGCAGCAAAAAAGAACCCTTGATCATTTCAGAGGAGGATGTACGGGAGAACGTGGTCACCTACGATGACGAGGGAGGTGGAGAGGAAGACACAGAGGCCTTTGACATCATAGCCTTGAGGAATCCTTCTGCTGCTGAGGAGCTCAAGTACCGGAGAGATATCAGACCTGAAGTGAAGCTCACTCCCAGACACCAGACATTGTCCACCCTCGAAAGTATAGATGTTCAGGAATTTATTAAGCAAAGACTGGCAGAAGCAGACCTAGACCCTAGCGTTCCCCCTTATGACTCTCTTCAGACTTATGCCTATGAGGGTCAGAGATCAGAAACTGGGTCTATCAGCTCACTGGATTCAGCAACGACACAATCAGACCAGGATTATCACTACCTTGGAGACTGGGGACCTGAGTTTAAAAAGTTAGCTGAACTCTATGGAGAAATAGAATCTGAAAGAACAACTTAGGGGGTAAATTGTTGCAACTTTGTGGAATTTGCTTCCTGAGTAAGTGGAGATACAACCTCAGCAATGACAAGGAAGACGTATGGAAACAGTACTTGGAACTGAGCAAACTGGACACAGCTCCTGTAGAAACAAGTGCCCTTTTCATGATCGAAACTGGGTTATTTAATTGGAAGAAAGTCAAATCTGAGAGAAAAAAAAAGACAATACAAAGAAAAAGTTATTGTTCCTTGTGTATATTTTCAATTGCTCAATAAAGTCTGTGGTACTGTTTATTAAGAATACCTGAATTAAGCCAAACAATGATATTTGTTTCAATATTTTGTGATTTATTATTTTCAAAAGCAAAACTAAACAAAAAGGCTCAAGATCACTGATGGCTATGACTTGTAGGCGTGGTAACACTATAACAGGAAACTTGCAAAGGTAATCACAACCTCTTTTATCACTTCTTTGTGTGAACCCTTAGGAACCACACCGTTATTGTGACAGATCTCATTAGCCTTGTCTTGTGTTTAAATTACATGAGATATTTCCACTCTATCATGGACTTGTATGTGTCATTTCCCTTTGCCCTCCCCAGTTCTTTTCTCCATACGAAACTGATGGAGCATGGGGATTTGCTGCCTGCACTATAATGTATGCAACTTCAGTGCACTGGTTGTGTGCTGTACTGAGCACGAGACTATGGTCTCTATCCTGTACACCCCCTTTTATTTTAACGGGAGACTCCTATTTTTAAATGGATAGAAAGAATAGTTTAAGGTATGTTACAAATATCTGCTATGTCAGGGAATTATTTAATTTTAAAACTAGCCACACACCTTATATTTTACTAAATATTGGGGAATATTTTTTTTCCTTTTTTCCACTTGTTTTATTATATTTAAATCAGCAATTTTGATCATTTATGTATTTAAAACCTCCAACCCCTGTCCTCTGTATTTAAAATTAATTGTCAAACATTTTGTCCTCTGTATTTAAAATTAATTGTCAAACATTTTGCTGGCTGCTTTATACTTCAGTCTAATTCACTTATTTTCATCATGAGCAGTCATCAAAAATAGGTACCTCACACAATAACAATGTAGTCTGAAAGACTATCCTCCAATGAACGTAAATGTCATAGAATCGTAGTTGACTTACTGTTATTTTTTACACAGGTTCAGATTTTCTCCTTCTTACTCATAATTAGTTTGGTATCAACAAGGAAAATGTGTAGGACTAGGAGCAAAGAAAGAAAAAAAAATAAGAGGAGATTTACACTTGTTATCCTCAGATATGTCCCCAAAAGTCTCTGTGTTCAGGGTGTAAACCACAAAGTAGAGATGGCAATGACTTCCCTGCCCACCTCACAGGGTTGTTGTGAGGATTAAATGAGCATCTGTAAAATGCTTTGCCAACTGCAAAGTATTCAATTACCTAAAAGCTTGCAGATGCTTACCTAATTTTCTAGTTTCATTATCACATAAATATATATTTACATGCATCTCACATAAAATATATTATCAGAATTTCATGAGCTACTGTTTAAATATATAGTACACAATTCCAGTTATTTTAATATTTTCATAAGCTAATTTCTGAGAATTTGGGTGGAGCTTTTTTTTCAAATTGTTTTAGATAATATTTTGTTGTTGTTGCTATTGGTCTTGAAGTAAGAATTTATAACATAATTGTCCTCTTTTCTAAAACGGACCACATCTATATATTTCAGAAATATTGGAATTCATAAATACATGAAATAATTATTTGAAAGGGGAGTTTTTCCTTTGCTCTTTAAATTTATCATTATCTAGTGTCCCCAAAAGTTACATGACATTTTCTGTCTGTTTCTACCCATGTGCAAAATTTTGGATTTTACCTCTGTTTGCAATTGCCTTGTGCTATCATATTATAATTTTGAGGTATGGGAAGTAAGTAAGTTTAATTTAAATAATTCTCAATTTGTGTTTTAAGCCTGAGGAATAAAATGTAATTTAAGCTTTTTACAACATTTTAGTTTTCCAGATGCTGCTTTATCCTTTTTTAATCTCATAATGGTGTGTGTTCCAGCGTGAAGCTAAATCTGAAGAGACACTGAGGGGTATGGGGAGTAACCTCTGGATATACATGCTCTGATGATGCTAGTTCTGGATTACATTCACCCTGGAAGGAGGGTAATGCATGGACAAGTATTGTGGGTCTGGGTGTTTTGAATTTTCTCTGCAAAGAGGATCAGGAATGGTTTTGGAAGTTCATGAGGCTGAGTAAACTATTGACAGAAGAAAACTATGGAATCACTTATCACTAATATGTTTCAGCACATATTTAAAAAATAAATTTATAAAATATATTTACAGATGAGGATTTGAAAAATAAAATGTATATGTATATTTAACAGTTCAGGTAAACATTAAGGGCCTCTGCATGGATCTGAATATCAAAATATATCTCTGATTTTGTAAAACTAAGCACTTCAGATCTATCTTCTTTTAATCACACATTAAAATAACAGGTTGCTTCTAAGTGCCCCTATATCAAATCTAAATAAGAATGCAAAATGGAGCATCTGCAGTTCATGTAGATTTTTTTTTAATTTTAATGAAAGCATTCCAAGTACTATTTTTATCTGAACTCTAAAACTAAGTAATTATATCATTATTATAAGTGTGGATATCTTCTCATATTTTTTGTTTTGCTTCTTTGAGCCAAAAAACAGTAATGACATATAAATGCTGTGCAAATTGACCAGAGTCATTGAACATTCAATATCTTATTTTTAAATCTCTGCTTTTATCAGTGTTAGAAAATAGTTCCCTTAGAGTGAAGTGAGCCAAGAGTTCATAAGCTGACTTTTAGTTTCACTGGCCACAAATAATCAGATATGAAATTGCACGTTGTTAATATGTTCTAGCACATTCTGTAAGCTTTAGTAGCTATTTGCAGATACAAATAACACATCGCTTTGACATAAATTTACTTCCTTTGAATAAGGTACTTTATTACATACAGACCTTGTACAAAATTTTGGATGCTAAATTAAAAAAAAAATTAATAGCATGATAGTATTTTTATCCAAGGTGTTTCTTAGCAGAATTTATTAATTGAAAATACTCCTTGTACAAACATCAATAAATTAATAATTTTTGCAGGAATTACTAAAGCTCTGTATAAGCTCTGTCTTCCTATGACGAACCTGTACAAACACAGATGTGAAGAAGAAATTGAGGAAAAAGATAAGTTTCTATATAGAGTTAGAGTGTGACTCTACCACAACATGGTACAAGAAGGAAAATATTCTGAGAGGGATTGAATTCATTTAACCACATAGGTGAAGACACTTATGTGCACGTATCTTCTTGAAGAACATTTGGAGGGTAAAATGATATTCAAAACAGAGATTTAGATATTGAAGTGATCCAAATATCTGATGTATACAAAATTGTAGTGCCCAGTATATGGAACACCCAGATAGGAGTTAATGACCTTTGGCTTTTATTTTGTATCCAGCATCAGTCTAATCTTTGGGGATGTCAGTTGAATGCAGCTCAGATGTATTTACTGCACAGAAAGCAGGCAAAATGATCAGAAATCTGGGTAGAAGAAAGGAAGAATATTGAGTTCATCTTTTTCAGCAATGCAGCAACCTTAATCAAAATTAATCATCATCTTCTTACAGAGCTCTACCCATAAGTCTGAACTGATGTCTTCTTTTGAGTTTAACTGAATATATATTTTGGATATAAAAATTTATCTGGACTCATCAGAGTCATCAAGAAGTGCCATTTAACTGAACATGTTAATGGAACATGTTTGAATGCAAAACTTTTGGTGTAAGCCTTTACTTGTCTATTAATGTGGACAGTGCTTGATCAGCTGTTCAACAAACTGGGACTCTAGAGTTGAGTATTACTGAAAGAGGGAAAACTCCCATGTCTCAAGGTCAAATTGTACTTAGCCTCTATGTATGTTATGCCACTGACTTACTTGGCTTTCAATTTCATGAATAGCTAAAATCTCAGGATAGTTCTTGGGACATATATGACTCAGATTTGAATTCTCTCTCTCTCTCTTTTATCCTTTAGGATTAAAGCCAAATTAAACATTATCTGAAGAAAACAAAACCACTGAAATTTTTCTTTTCTACCTCATCTGCAAAAGTTAAATCTTTTTACAATATGGGATTAGAAATCTCAACCTTAAAGCCAAAAGTAACTCACAACCATTTGGAGACAAAACCAGCACTCCCAGAACCCAATCAGTTTTTCAGTTTCTAAATACATAAATTTAAAATGAAAATATTTAATACAGTACTTTTTACCATGTTTCTACTCTTTTAAATACATATATCCTACTCTGACTTGTGCCAGTGAAAGATGTAGTGATGCAATTTTTTACTAAAAGAAGAAATCAGAAAAAAAATAACATAGCCTTTGAAGCACTGATGAAAAAATGGAAGAAGGTCTTAGCTGAGGGAGGACTGATTGCATTTATATATTTGCTAAGTTCATGAAAATGAAAGATTTTTGCCCTTCAACACTTCAAAGACATCAAAAACTATTTTAGTAATAATTCCTTTCTGAAACTCTGAGGTGAAAATGAATAGAGAAAATGGGCATTGAAGGGCTCTTTGGAATTCTATCCTATGAGAAAGGCATGTAACATTTATGGATTATAATGTGTTCCTCAGATGGTTTAGTGTTATTGCTGATCAATACTAACTTTGAAAATTTTAAAATGGGTCATAATAGTTAGTATTACTCTAATAATTGTATCAAGGCCATTTTTCTTATGTCAAAAACCATCAAATTCTTATCCTAAATTATCTCCTGGCAATTTCAAAGTGCCATCTAAAACACCTTAGTTTCAAGCAGAAATTAATACAACCTAAGATTTATTAAAGGAGCAAGGTATTCTAAACATGAACCAGATGGAAGATACTGTTTGAGACATTCAGAAAAATATTTTAAAAAAAAAGAGTCCTGGTGACAGTTGCCATCATCAATGAAATTAAAGTGTCATTTAAGAGAAATGATAGAATGTATGAATAAAAAAAATGATAGAATGTATAAATTTACAACCTGCATGCCAAAAGCTCTGAATAATGCAATATGAAGCAAAAAGTGGCAAAACATATTCTAAAACAGATAGGTACAATGAAATGAAAAGTTGCAGGAACATATTAAAGCTGTGTGAGTA